CCCCCCCCCCCAATGAGCTATGAGAAGTTGAGTAGATCTAAGCCATGCTTTTGTATTTGCTACTTATTTCATTTCGGTATGACTAATTCTAGATTTATGTATGTATGTATGTATGTCAGTATGTCAGTCATGGGGCTTGAACTCTGGACTTGAATGCTATCCACCATCTCTTCAGCTCAAGGCTAGTGCTCAACAACTTGAGCCACAGTGCCATTTCAGGTTTTCTGGTAGTTTATTGGAGATAAGAGTTTCACGGACTTTCCTGCCTGGGCTGGCTTTGAATCTCGATCCTCATAACTCAGCCTCCTGAGTAGCTAGGATTACAGGCATGAGCCACCAGCATCTGGCCTCTGGCTCTTTTTAAAGAGAATGGTGCATAAAAGAATGAATCTCAATTGACTTAAGGAATGTAGAATTATTTTTGTGTTGGTCAGCTTGACCTGTGTAGGCATGAATTTTAAGCAGCAAGAGATAATAAAGCTGCTTTCACCAGCCTCCTCATAGGTGACAGTGGCATAAAATGATGAGAATGAGCCTTCTTTTTTAACATTGGAAGGTAAGTAGTTGATTGTACCTGGTCGAATCCCAAGGTACATGTTTTGTATTATGGTATTTAGGGATTTTCCCCCCCTTTCAGAATCAGCTTCAGAGGTGCAGAGATTTGGGATTATTTGAAGAGAACAGAGGAACTGAAACCTTGGCTAAATTTAGATATACCATTTATTAGGTAGAAGAGAAAAGGATCTATTAGATAAAAATCCTTCTAAGATCAGAAATAGATTATAATCTAGATAGTTCTTGGTAATGTGGGAAGTTGAATTTGAAAGAAGCAAAGAGTTAATAAAACTGGATAATTATGAAATAAATGGAATGTAGGAGCTTAAAATTCTTGCTCAAAATTTTGATGACTTTTTTTTCTCTAACTAAACTAAAAAGAGAGAGAGAAAGTCTTTGAAAGGATGACCAAAAAAATGGCTTATATTTAAGATATGTAAAGAACTCTTTTTTTTTACTTTTTTTATTATATTTTATTTTATTTGTGAACATACTAAAGAACTCTTATAAAGAACTTTTAGTGGGGAGTAAGAAGACAGCCAGTCTTTTTTTTTTTTTTTTGGCCAGTCCTGGGGCTTGAACTCAGGGCCTGGGCACTGTCCCTGAGCTGCTTTTGCTTAAAGCTGGTGTTCTACCACCTGAGCCACTGTGCCACTTCTGGCTTTTTCTGTTTATGTGGTACTGAAGAATTGAACCCAGGGCTTCAAGTATGCTAGGCAAGAACTCTAAGCCACATCCCAGCCCCTCCATTTTTTTTTAAGTGACAAAAAGGAATTGAACAGACACTTCACCAAAGAAGCAATATGAATAATCAATGACACCTGAAAAGATGTTGAATATTCCCCCAGGAAAATGCAAATTAAAGTTACAATAAGATACTGCTTCACAGCTATTAGAATTGCTAAAATTAAAACCATCAGTAATACATAGTGTTGGTGGATATGGAGCAACTGGAGCTCTATAGAAATGCAAAATTGTGTAGCTGCTTTGCAAAACAATTTGACAGTGTCTTAAAAATGAAATACATGCTTACCAAATGAACCAGTAATTTGATTCCTAGGTATCTACTCAAGAGAAATGAAAACGTGTCTACACAAAGACTTGTACTTTCATGTTCATAACAGCTTTATCCATGATGGCTCTAAACTGGATGTAACTCAGTGTCCATCTGGTGGATGGATAAACAACTTGTAGTATATCAGTTGAATGGACTATTATGCAGCAATAGAGAGAAATGAACTAGGAAAATGGATGGAAATAAAATAGAGATTGCCATGTTAAGCACAATAAGTCAGACACAAAAAAAACCTATGGCCTATTTTCTCATATGTGAAATCTTTCTTTAAAACAACAACAACAACTAAAAGGAGCAATATTTGCGAAGAGATGGACAAGAAACAGTAGTGGGGATGAAAATGTGATCAGAGTACATTATATACACGTATGAAAGGTCCATGAAACCCATTATTTTGTACAATTAGTATATACTAATAAAGTTGAAAAAAGACATATTACTAGTTCAATAATTTGCTGACAGTAAAGAAGGTCAAAACAAACTAAAGGAATAATGTACCAATGATATATGAACCTAAAAACTATTGAAGTAAATGAAAAAAATCCCCCACACAAAAGACCACATTTTGTTTTATTTTGTTACTTTAGTTTGTTATTCATTTTACTTTCACTTTTTTTTCTTCTTTTCTTGTCGGTCATGGGGCTTGAACTCTGGGCCTGAGCTCTGTCCCTCAGCTCTTCAGCTCAAGGCAAGTGCACTATCACTTGAGTCACAGCACCACTTCTGGCTTTTTCTGCTTATGTGGTGCTGAGGAATCGAACCCAGGGCCTCATGCATGCAAGGCAAACACTCTACCACTGAGCCTCCTTCCCAGCCCTCACTTTGACTTTTGTTTGGGTTTTTTTTTTTAACTGTATTTTTTTTTTGTCTTTTCTTTTTGGTACTGGGGATCGAACCCAGGACGTTGCGCTTGCTAGGCAAGCGCTTTGCCACTGAGCTACATCCCAGCCCTCACTTTGACTTTTGAAACAGAGTCTAGCCATGTAGCCCAGGCTGGGTATTATGATCTTCCTGCCTCAACCTCCCAAGTGCTGAGATTACATGCTTGCTCCACCATGCTGGACTAACCTCTTAACTTGTCTCTGGGTCAAGGATCTTTCTTCTTCAGAATATCTTTCACATTGCCCCCACAATTACTTCTTTTGAAGTGTATTACCCTCATTCTTTCTTGTTTCAAAATATCTCTTGTGTCTGAGTGCCAGTGGCTCACACCTGTAATCCTGGCTACTCAGAAGGCTGAGATTTAAGGATCATAATTCAAAGCCAGCCCAAGCAGGAATATCCATAAGACCATTATGTCGTTAATAACCAGCAGGCTAAGAGTGGAGCTGTGACTCACATAGTTAAGCAAAAAAGCTTAGACAGTTCCTAGGGCCGGGCGCTGGTGGCTCACGCCTGTAATCCTAGCTACTCACGAGGCTGAGATCTGAGGATCGCGGTTCAAAGCCAGCCCGGGCAGGAGAGACCGTGAGACTCCTATCTCCAATAAACCACCAGAAAACCGGAAGTGG